TCAAACCGAAACTACAACTCAAGGTGAGCTTCATACCCCCTATTTTTCGGTTTTATAAGTTTTATGGGGGGAGAATACAAGCAAATGTGTAGATCTATGTGTATATGTATGCCTTGTGTGATTTCTATGTTTATATTTGTGTTTTTGTGTGATTATGATGTTGGATCTAGTCAAAAAGCCCTTAAAACCGAGATTTGCTTTGGGTTATATGATACTAGCATAAATTATATTACTACATACAAATCATTTCTAGAAAAATAACCAAGTTGTTTAATATTAACTTCTTTGGGCTAAAAACTCATTGTTGGACTCAAAATGTTAAAAATATAAAGTTAAAGGGCCCAAAATGACAATATACAAATTCTAATGGTTGAAATATGTCAAAACAGTTTCAATAATGTATTTTCTGGAAATATATTCTTTTGAGGGATTAAAATGTAAAATATTAAGCATAATGGGCCAAAAATGGATTTTTCGGCCCAATAAAGCCCAATATACGAGAGTTTCAAATTGGAGGGGCTGAAACTGTATTTTTCTGTAAAGCTGGGGTCTACTAGTGCTCCAAGTCCATTTCAAGGGTTAAAAATGATTTTCATATTTAAAAAGGACCAAAGATGCAAAAAATTTCTATTTTGGGCCAAAAGTGTAAAAGTTGCGAAAATGAGGTTTCAGCCGAGAAAACTTCATTTTGAGGGACTAAAACTATTTTTCAAATAAATTTGAGCTGAAAAACACCTTTTCAACAAGTTTTGATACTAAAATGTCAAGAAAAATCGTTTAAGGACTAAAATAGAAATTCTTTTATACAAAGGGTCAAAAATTGTAAATTATCCAAAAGAAAGGGGTTGTAAAAGAAAATCCTAATGTTGTAATCAATAAATCCGTTATGATAAAATACTAGTACCACGACTACCGACGAAACATAATACACATTCAACACCAAAATCATTATCAAACGAATTGATTCGGTCTCGAATCAACAACGAATCAAAAATTAATACACGACGAAACTTCAATACACACACGGGAATTCACCAGAAGTCAATACACACATGGAAATTCACCAGAAGTCAATACACACGTGAGAATTCACCAGACGTCGATACACCATCTTAGGGCCCGAAAGTTTCAAATCGTGCTTGTTGGGCCTAGCTAGTCCAATGACATGATCTTTAGGCCCAAAGGTAACTCGCTTACATGTCGTTGGGTCTTGTATGACCTAATTTCGTGTAAAAGGACTTTCAATGGCTTCTGTGCTGTTGGGCCCCAAGGGTCCTTTGGTACTGCCAGCAAAGTCGAGAATTCACCAATGCGAGTCGGGCCAAGGGCCCTTCGCATTCACGATAGCCTTAAACAACTTATGGAAATATCGGGGGCTTCGCACCCTCTCTTCTCCTTGGTTGTGGGGCTATGAGAAGTCGGGGTGGTTGGATTAAGTGAATGATACAGACGACGCTTAAGGGATCATTTGTATAGTTGTAAACCATTCGTTTTCATTAAAGCGTGTTTATAACGATTCACAAACCATATTTAATCCAATGACAGCTGGAATTATCGAATACACACGTCGTAACGGTATAACAAATTATATAACGCGTAATTCGAAGTATTAGGAAAACGTCGGGTTTTCCTAGGGTTTTCAATACATACACTTGCGAGATGCATACCAAGTCTAACAATTTTTCTTACATTTATAGAAACAAACAAGCATACTTACGGATCTTCACACTTTTTATACGATACTATTTTCAAAAAATATCGGATTTTCTGGTGGTTTTTTTTCAAAACAATACAAACCGTTTTATTTCAAACATTACTTATGAACTCACCAACATTTCATATGTTGACGTTTTTCAAAATGCTTGTATTCTCAGGTAATAGGTAAATCGAAGGGAAAAATGTATTCAGTGATGTCATGTTGTTTGTTTAACTAGTATCGAACAATCTACTTTTGGGAATGTAATGTTATGAAACAATGTACTAAATGTAAACACTACTAGTTGTACTATTTCAATGCACGGTGATGAATGATGTTATGTTTCATGTATTTTCACTGTGATGGTATTCAATTGAGTCACAACAGCCCTCAGACGTTTCCGCCGTCTGGTTCGGGGGTGTGACAGTTACCTTCCAGTAGTTGTGGGTCTACGACCACAATGTCGGCCCACCAGTAGGAGTTGTATGATGGATGATTGTTTATGTGATATTCATCTAAGGTTGCTACTACCTGTGATATGTTTATGTGCTAGTATGATATGCTACTATGTGCTAGTGACAGTAGGGGGAGATAGTCCCCAGATTACCGGTCGATAGGGCAGAAGGGGCGGTCATGCCCAACCATGCTAGATAGATTACGAGATATATGTGTTATGTGGTAGTAGTAGGGGGCGAAATAGTCCCCAATATTCGGTCGAGAGGACCGAAAGGGGATACCAACACCCAGATATGCTAGTCAGTATCCGGTCGAGAGGACCGAAGGGGAGGCAAGCTCCCAGTTATGCTAGACAGTATCCGGTCGAGAGGACCGAAGGGGTAGGTCGGGCACCCAGATATGCCTGACGATATATGCATGTTATGTGATTGTATGGTATGTGGTAGGTTGGGGGAACTCACTAAGCTTCGTGCTTACAGTTTTCAGTTTTGGTTTCATGTACCTCTTTTTCGAAGGGGAAGGAGCTGGCGCGGTGGCGGCCCATCACACACATGCTTCGTATTCCGCATCATGAGGTCTTCCTGGGGATTTGTACTCTGACATTATTATGTTTATGAAATGTTTTCCAGACATGCGATATCTTACTAAAATATTATGACTAGTAAACGTTTTAATTCGAATGTTTTGCTAAACTTATGTTTTCAAAAAATAAAATTTTTGGCTCGTATTTTTGGGGTGTTTCAAAGCTCTTATTGGATTTTTGAACTTTTGGGAGTACGCACCGCGTACTCGAATGTAACATCCTATTTTCAGGTCGTTTTCATTTTGGAATGGTTATCAAGGATTGGGTATTATCAGGGTTTAAATCCTTGAAGAAGTTAGTTTTGGTCTCAATTGGATGCGGATGCTGTATTGGATGATTCAGGTGTTCGGTTGTGATTTAGAGCAAAAAGGGTATTTCGGTAATTTGTTAGTTTGGGCTTTTATGGAAAATGGATATTAGTTCGAGATATCTTACGGTGAGTATGAATTGATGATAGTGTTGAGCATCTCGATGCCTTTCTATAGATACATGGATGGTCGAAATCGGGGTTGTATCAAGTGAGTTATGGCCTTCAGAAGATTTAGGTTTGGGGAGAAAATCCTAGTACGCATGGCATACCAGGGAGGTACGCGGGGCGTACTAATATGAAGCCGGTTATGCGAGGCGTAGCGAAGAGAACACGTAGCGTAGTATAAATATATATATATATATATATATATATATATATAGTCGTAAACTTGGAAAAACATACATTTTTACAATTGAACAAACATACAAAACAATTGAGTATTGGTAGAAGACTACTTTTCATTTTAGTCGAAAATATAGGATTTTTCAGGAGGTATACAAACATCTACATCAAAACACTTACAAACATTTTCATGAAACAAATGTAAACTTTTGACACAAAATACCTATGCACTCACTCAACTGTTATTTTGATACTCTATTTTCAAAATAACTTGTATTCTCAGGTCACTAGTAGACATGTACACTAGATCAGATTTTGAGTAGACGGTGCATGTTCAAGACCCGTCTTTTATTTTTGATATAATTTTTAGTGTCTTACAACCATACATAGAACACAAATGTATAAACTATATTATTAATGCAATGGATGTTGTTGCTTGTTTTAGTATTGTGCATTGTTATGATACCGAACATGACGTCCTCCACCTCCGAATGTTTCTGTCATTTCGGTTTGGGGGTGTGACCATGTTTATGAAAAAAAATTGTAATAAGGAAAGGGGATATTAGATTACAAAAGATGAGATAGGGAACTGATTCGTACACAGTGACGAATGTAGAGTATTAGAAGCGGGGTGCATAGACCCCACTTGATTGTAATTTCCACCTTATATATTTTCCATAAAAAATCATCTGTTGATATCTTTTTACATATGGTCCTCACTTGTTTTTCTGGTGGTACCCTTTTAACATATACAACTTTGTTTTTTTGTTCATTGTGTTTTAAAACTTAACAAAAGTGCCTATCATCTATTTTCTATGAAAAAAACCTCAAGAAGGATCTATTACATTTCAAAAAAATCCACCTTTATCACTGTGATCTTACTCAAGGTTTACATATATGAAAACAAGTATATGATGCCATTATAATAAACAAAGGCATCAAAATGCTCCATCTCTGATTTTCCAAACAATTTTTTATAAATGCAAATTTTCAGTTTTTTTTTTCAATAATATGATTATATAATGGATCCTAGTTACCATTTTTTTTGGATCCACCACTCTTCGTAGACAACATTTTTTCTCTTTACACATTTTGTGTTTTAAAATGTTGTATTGTACAACTCTATAATGCATAAATTGTTGTGTTGTGTACGAATCACTCCCCGATGAGATAACCTATGGTATCCTTATTTATATAATTCGTTTGATTTATGTAATTCATGGTTCTAAAATTTAAATAACCTTCTATATTAAACGGGTACTAATCTTAGGGTAAGAATGTTATATATACGGTAATGATTATTAGTATTTGCATAAAAGGTTTGTATATAAGGTCCCTTGAGTCGAATAAACATTAGTAACCGATGATAATGATAATTTTAGCATGATTCATATAAGCTTAATGGTATATTGAAAGAAAAAAAATAGCTAAATATATGCAATGAACATCTATCATTATTTACCAAGTCATTATCTCAAAAGATAAAAACAACTAAATTCGTATAACTGCCATAGTTCATCATCGTGTGTTAACAGTGTTAAATGTGTACAATCGACATATTACATTGGATAATCTGTCACCCTATATATAAATTTTTCTCTACGAAACCGACACAAACATCCCCAATTTCATATAAAACACTATCCCCAAATTGCCCCTCCCTCCACTCTCTCGCCTCTCATCATCATTCACTTTTTTTTTTCCTCTCGCTCGCCCTCTCATCTCTCTCTCATGGAGAACCAGAAACGCCATGAACAACCTACAAACTCCGTGAGAAGAAGCTTGAAGAGGAAGCTGGAGGACGAATTCATCGTGGATCGGAAGATCACTTCATCTGATGACGCGGCTCAACAAGATCTAGTATCTGAAGTTCGCGCTCAGGTCGAAATCCTCGACTCTACTTTTTCATCGAACGAATCAGATCGTGCTCTAGTCAAACGTTCGATTCATATCCTCTCCGAGCTCGCGAAAAACGGTATGAATCTACGCTTAATTTGTTTTGTGTTTCAATTTCACGTTTCTCCGTACACATCCCCTTTTACGAGTCACGCTATAACGTTTCGGTGGTGCTCAATTTTGTGGTGGTAGTTGTCGTTGATTTTTGTTTATGCGGTGGTGAAATTGATTATTCTTAGCATCTGCACGTAGCTATTGTTTTGTTTTCTTAATCGCACCTCGTTGATTTTGTAGTTACCGGTTTAATTCTTCATTTGCGCGACTAGTTGTGGATGATTATGTTAATGCGGCCGATACTTTGCCTGAATTTTTTCTATACGAATTCCGGTTCTATGTGTTGTTGGTTAGAGTTTTGATGTGATTAATATACATGACTGCAGAGGATATTGTGAATTTGATCGTGGAATCCGGGGCCGTTCCAGCGCTTGTACGCCATCTTCAAGCGCCACAGTCAAAAGAAGTCGTTGCAGGACCAAGGCCATATGAGCATGAGGTGGAGAAGGGAAGTGCTTTTACCCTAGGACTTCTGGCTATAAAGGTAATTATCAAGAGAAGCTAGATTCTTCATCATTGTTGTATGTCCTATATCTTTCTGTTTGGCACTTTGGCTGGACTAGTGGATTATTTTCTTCGAACTTGTAACATGGAATATTGAAGATGTGCGCACTTGGAACTCCCCCTTCAATCATGCTTAGTTCTGTATGCTTTTTTACTTGAGCATTTTCATGTGGTTTTATTTAAAAACTACAGTGTCACCAGAAATGCTACTAAAACGTTCAGTTGCGTTTTCACATGCAAATTTTTTGTGGAACACAATACAGTTGGGGCATGGAACGAACTTACAGATGCATCATATCTTTTATTTACTATTTAGAAGAAATAGTATCCAACATATATCAGTTAGGCTTGCTATTGAGAGAAACAAACACTGAAAGAAGATATTTTAAACCTCACGCTTGTATTGGAAGATTAAATTGCTTTTCATGATTGTTTAGTTCCCCTCCTGAAGAGCATCAGGCACTAAAATTCCATGACTCACCCAATCACAAATGATTAAAGTGGTTAGGGGCCGCCAGTTATTTATTTATTTATCTACTTATAATTACAGTTGTTTTCTTTTATCAAATTTTAATGATGTATTGGGGTCATCCTCTAGGCTACCAGGCTGATAAAACAGCAGATAGTAAATCATTTATCTATATAAGTTTCCTTTTTGACTAGATTTTAAGATGTTTTTTTTTTCTTTATCTGAGCATTTACTCCATTGCATCTTTACCTTTTTCTGTCTAACTTCAATTCAAAGCGATGATCTACATCAGCTTCCAAGAACTATATCCGAAGTTTGATAGATTGTAATGATTACACAATACTCATGGTCACTAAAGGGATACTACTTTTGGTGATTTCTGGTGTTAACAGCCAGAGCATCAACAACTCATTGTCGATGCTGGAGCCCTGCCTCATCTTGTTGCTCTCCTTAAGCGACACAGGGATGGCCAGAACTCTAGAGCAGTCAATGGTGTTATAAGGAGAGCAGCAGATGCAATCACAAACCTTGCTCACGAGAATAGCAGCATCAAGACCCGTGTTAGGTCAGTTCTTTTGTACCCTTTTTCTGTTACAGTTTTGGGTATTTCAGTTTGTTTGACATCACATGCTTATGTTCAGGGTTGAAGGTGGAATCCCTCCTCTTGTTGAATTGCTTGAATTCATTGATGCAAAGGTGCAGAGAGCTGCTGCAGGAGCCCTACGTACCTTAGCTTTCAAAAATGATGAAAACAAAACTCAGGTTGGTATAAAATGTGTTTTGGGGATTGTTTGGACTAAGTTTTCTAACATTGGAACCTTGCCATGTCTGCAGATTGTGGACTGTAATGCTTTGCCTACTCTTATTCTAATGCTGCGGTCTGAAGATGCTGCAATACACTATGAAGCAGTTAGTTTTAGTTTTTAAATTCACTTTTTTCTTTTCATCTCATAAGATTGGTTGTATCTAGGAATGATTTCTGAATGGTATATCTCAGGTTGGTGTGATCGGGAATCTTGTCCATTCATCCCCCAACATCAAGAAGGAAGTTCTTCTTGCTGGAGCACTGCAACCTGTAATTGAATTGCTCAGGTAACGTGATACATACCTTTAAAGGGTTGCATTCAAAACTGCAACTTCCATCTATGCCTAAAACTGTCCTGTTGTAACTCTATATATCGCCTACATATAAGATCAGCCTTCAAATATCAAACAAAATTGACTTATTTTGATAGCAAAGTAACAATTTGTTGAAAACTACAACAATTTTAATTCTTGTATTAATTTTTCAGTTCAAGCTGTTCAGAGAGTCAAAGGGAAGCTGCCCTATTGCTTGGACAGTTTGCTGCTGCCGATACAGACTGCAAGGTTTGACCGAAATGTTAATTCATTTATTATCATTTATCACTTAATTTCCATTTCTATATGTTTATTCATATGTCTTGTCTACTATCAACCCTAACAACACACGCTCATAAATCTTTTCATAGGTTCACATAGTGCAAAGAGGCGCTGTTGGTCCACTAATCGAGATGCTACAGTCACCAGATGCTCAACTACGTGAAATGTCAGCTTTTGCTCTAGGAAGGTTGGCACAGGTAACCAAATTATATATATATATATATATATATATATATATATATATATATATATATTTATTTAATCACTTAAATTCACGAATCTTTATTTTATTAAAATATATCATAGATTTGTAAGTTCTCTCTAGCATCTCCGTATATGCACGGGTTTCCATGCATGCAGGTGTAGTAATTAAAGCTTCAAGTTTAGTAATAGCAGTCATAATTACACACACGTGTGCTAGTATATAAGTGATAACCTTCCATTGTAAAAAGATGTTTATTTTAGGGTAGTTTATGTATTTAATGATTGTGATCTACCTATCATCAGGATACTCACAACCAAGCTGGGATTGCACATGGTGGTGGTATACCTCCATTGCTGAAACTTCTTGATTCTAGAAATGGTTCTCTGCAACACAATGCTGCATTTGCCCTCTATGGTCTTGCTGATAATGAGGTAATACCATGTTAAATCTTATTATCAGAACTACTATAATCCCCTGAAGTTAAGATTCCTATTCTATGATCTTTGCCTTGAATAACTTTCTATTGAAATAAATCCCTTTTATTTTAGGATAATGTTGCTGATCTTATAAGGGTTGGTGGGGTACAAAAGTTGCAGGATGGTGAATTCATTGTCCAAGTAAGTTTGTTTTCTTTTTGCAGTTCCTTAGAATTTTTTTTTTTAATCATTTTGCTTGGAATAAGAAAAACTCATTTGACATGATCTGGTTTTGCAGCCAACGCGGGATTGTGTAGCAAAGACATTGAAAAGGCTAGAGGAGAAGATCCATGGACGGGTAATTAATTAATTATCTTAACTACTTAATCTTTTTTTTTTTTTTTTTTTTTGCAAAAGATATTAATTTGTATAATCATCCTTGTCCTCAGGTATTGAGCCATTTGTTATACCTGATGCGGATTGCTGAGAGATCTGTTCAGAGACGAGTTGCTTTGGCTCTTGCTCACCTTTGTTCACCTGATGACCAGAAAACAATATTCGTTGATGGCAATGGTAAAATATTAATCGCCTTTTTAAACACTTGATGATAGATATATTTGGTGATGATTTTTTTATATTTTACCTTTTTCTGGATGGATAAATTTCGCAGGACTTGGCATACTTTTGGAGCTTTTGGAATCAACCAATTTGAAGCATCAACGAGATAGTTGTGTCGCCTTGTGCAAGTTGGCTGAAAAAGCTAGCTCACTTTCCCCTGTTGATGCGGGACCACCATCTCCAATATCTCAGGTTTTTTATTTTTGTTTTTTTGATGTTTTGTCTAAATTTTAAACTATAATCAGAGTGAAATTATTATACTTTGTGATGTAGGTGTATTTGGGTGAGCAGTATGTCAACAGTCCTACACTCTCTGATGTAACATTCCTAATCGAAGGTGGAAACTATCTTTCATTTATTTCCAAAAAGAAAGGTTTACTTCTATTTTAGCATTTGTTGAGCCTGACAATTTATATATTTATAATATCTTCAGGCAAACGCTTCTACGCTCACAGAATTTGTCTCCTTGCTTCTTCTGATGCATTCCGAGCGATGTTTGATGGTGGATACAGAGTAAGTGGCATTAAATATTTGTTTTTTTTTGTCAATTTTTCGATCCATCTGGGTTATATAGTTTTCCAATGATGATTTTTATATCCATTTTAGGAGAAAGATGCGAAAGACATCGAAATTCCAAATATTAGATGGGATGTCTTCGAATTAATGATGAGGTTCATCTATCTATCTATAATCTATAGCTTGCCTTTGATTTCAGTTATTGTACAACATTTTTAATATATACTGTATTATGTTACAGATATATATACACGGGGTCGGTAGATGTCAATTTGGAAATTGCACAGGATCTTCTTCGAGCTGCAGATCAATATCTTCTTGAGGGGCTGAAACGTCTTTGTGAGTACACCATTGCACAGGTGAGTGACAGCTTGATTATTATACTTGCTCTAAATAGTAAATTCATTATAATCAGAATAATATAAATATAAATATTATTTTATCAGGATATACTGGTGGACAATGTATCAGTTATGTACGACCTATCTGAGGCCTTCAATGCTGTGTCACTAAGGAATGCATGCATTCTATTTGTGCTCGAGAATTTCGACAAGTTAAATGCTAAACCAGGGTACAACATATTAATTAGTTTCAATTTCTTTCTTGTTCCTTTTAAATTTTGGAAAGTTTGACCGAGTTGACTGAAATGGTAAAAAAAAAAATGAATTAGGTATGGGGGTTTGATCCAGCGTATAATGCCAGAGATGCGTAATTACTTTGTGAGGACACTTGGAAGACCTGTGGAAGCTGACATGCGACAGTAGGCGATTGAGTTTCAAATTTTTTGATCAATTGATTTTAACCAAACCTAGATGAAAAAAAAAAAAAAAAAACAAGGAAGAAGAGAGGATGTACAAAAAGTTAAGTGGTTTAGGTTTCATTTGTCGAAAAGAAAAAAAAAGGTGGCGACTTCTGTTTTGAGATTGGAACTTTGACAAACCAACCTGGTGGCAGTTGTTTTAGTAGATGGGAAGGAATGCTTGCTTGCTTGTTGTGCCAAATGTTGTTGACATGCATTGCATGTACTGCTCTACTACTCTTATCAACTGTTGCTTATCTTACTATATATATATATATATATATATATATATATATATATTCTTCTTCTCTTCTAATCATGAATTTCATCTCTTGCTTCCCCATCTTTTATGTCGGAAACAAAACTTGAGTTATTGACGACAAACCCAAACAGATGAAATTGAATAATAGTTTTAAAAAAATTTAAACAAGGCTTTCCACCCGTATGTTTTTCACTCACACATCACATCACTCTAATACAATAACACCAAACTTGCACTTCAATATGTGCATAGGAATCCCAAAAAAATTATTCCCTATAACTTCTACCCCAGTTTTAATACAACCAACACACACACAAAACAAAACAAAAAACCATTTCTAAGCCTAAACTCTACCTATACGATACGTATTTCAGCTGTTGCATAAGAACCAGAGTCATTATCAGTGGTGGACCAGTTCTCCTTGAGTCCACAGGCAGCATGGATCACACGTGGCAGTCTTTCCACCTGAAGCTCACATGAAACCACTTCCTTTTCCTTTTCCAATTCAGAACAATATTTCCCAAACGTACTCACACTTACATGGAGCCGAAAGTCAAGACCAAATAGGAATTTCATTTCCAATCTGTTCAATTCTGCTGTTGTCACTCCTCCCACTTTAGCATAATACGCGTTGTTGTAGAATCTGCACATGCAATCCAAACCTCAGAAATACAAGACAACTATGCATACATATTTAAACTAAAAAAGGTTACAACCAAAAAGATTCGACTTACGCATCATCAATGAACTTTGCAGCAAGCATGACACTGGTGATAAGAAGACGATGAACACTAAGCGACGTCAAATTAACACTTCCACAATGAATAAACCGATCTATATACACCTGTGCAACAACAAAACATGAAGGGCTGCAGCTTGAGTATTTAAAGATGCGATCAATGTACTCTTTGATGCTAAGTGTAGGGGCTCTTGAACCATGAAAAGGTGTAACAACATCTTTGGTTTGTGTTGCCTCGAGAAGGGCCTCGTTCTTTATTATAGATCTTTCAAGAAGTGAAGAAAGGAGGGATAGAACTTTTGGGTTTCCTGGATTTTGCTTGTATGTTTCTTTCAGTCCGAGATTACGGTATGTTTTTGGGCCCGCGGTGTCGTTTTCAAGCCCTAAGGATCCCATACTCACGCAAAGCTGCATGGATAAAGTGTTGTCTGTTTAAAATTATTTTATAAAATGACATCATGATTTGGCAAAACGGAAGAAAAAGGTTTTGTAAAAAATTACAACATAGCAAGGCCGGCCTACGTTCCCTGACTTTCTCTATTAAGTCTTTCCACATTAAGTAAAAAAGAAGCAACATTGGAATACAACTTATGAAGAATCAATGAAACACGTAATCATGTGTGATTCTTCATTTTGCTTCGGTTACATGTGACATTGAGTAGGCAATATTAAACCAAATAGGGTATCATTTAATGACCAAACTATTCGGCAAAGGGTTATCAATATGAATACAAGATGCGCCGAAATGAAAAATTAACAAAAAAATAATAATTAAAAATCAAGTCAAACATGTTAACAGGCTAACAGAATATTAACAAAGCAAAAGACAACATCTCCTGTACACATAAAGACACCAAAAAGACAAGACTATTTTTGTAGGAAACAAATGACTGTAAATATGTTAGTACGCAATTTAAATCATTTTCACGCCTAAAGAAATTTTTGGTCAAACTGTAAAATTAGGTTAATGAGTTATTCATTTTACCAAATCATGCATCGAAGTGGATATATGCATGAACAGATGAGAAATCCATTTTGTTGTATAAATTGGTAATAAGATATTGAACCTTTGTAAACTTTTCCCCAAAGGTCAACACTCTTTGCTTCTTTACATCCCTCAAGAGTCAAGATACCCCTTGAAGGACATCAAAATCAAATGCAAAAGATAACTAAAATTCAGTTGCTTGGGTTAATAATCAGAGAGTAAACCAAATGAAATTAACGATAATTAGATTGATTTCTAGTAGCAACAATAACAAAACCAACAAATTTCATGTTCATAAATATCCACCTACATTCTTTTCTGCCATGGACAATTTTTTTTTTCTAGCTAAATGGGTAAGGTGGTTAATTAGGTAGGTTTTTCTTGCCTTAACTACTAATACTAAGATCTGAAAAAAAAAAAAACAGATTTTAAGCTATCAGATATCTAGATCAGCCCTAATGGAAGAAATATTCAAGATCCATTTAGAATTACCCCTAACCTGACGAACCCACAAACAAAATCCAGACTTCATGTCATATAAATTAGGTCGAAGAACAAATTTAGCTTTGAGAAATCAAAATGAGAACAATTTAACAGAAACCCTTTAAAAAATTGAGTCTGGATTGTAGGACAAATCCCTAACGAAAAAGTTGGGAAATCCGAATAGAAAAACCCATGAAAGAATTACGACGAACACTTGGAGTTTGGAACTTACAGAGGAGGTTCTTGGAGCATCCATGGCGGCCACACCCAGAGGTCCAAGAATCTTCTACATGAGCAGCAACTGGGTGAATGTGAAAGTGAAAGTGAAAGTGAAACAATTCCTTTTTTTTCAGAGAGAGAAAGATGTAAAGGACTAACAGACGTACAGCAGTTCTATCGCTATCTGTCTTTCTCTCCCTTTCCTTTTCTGGTGATGTCACAAAGTAAATAATTTAGTGGTGTGACGAGTATACATACACGAGATTAAATGTATGATTTTGTTGGTTTTGGAAGCAAAGCATTAAAAATGGTAGTCGTACATGATAGTTCAATTGATATTTGGTAATTCTTTGATTGATATGTGGGCTATGGATGGAAAGATACAGTTGGATGGATTATGAATCATCATGGAAGCCATAAAAGTGTCGGTCGTTTTTCTTTTCTCATAAAAATATAAAATCCGCCTAATAAAATTAGACTTCACACTCGAATCTAATTAGGAAGTTTTAGATTAGAGTCAAATCTTAATATATCCGCCTAATATACATAATTAGACTTTTCTCCTTTTCGAGGATAACAATGAGGATTAAAACAAAATTAATGGGTCTTTTAGGAGGTTGTAATTAAGCGGAAAGACTTGGATGGTCTTGGTGTTAGATGTCTCGATTCGAGAAATTTAACTATTCTTGCTAAACGGCGGTGGAGATTTAAAATCGGGTACGACTCCTTATTGTTCTCTTGTATCAAATCCATGGGTAACTTATTGTTTATTCATTGAAAACCGTCGTTTAAGAAGTCAATAAAAGAAGTTTGGTTGAATATCTCTCAAATTGATATGGAATTTGAACCGAATGGTATTTTTATTAATAACTTGTTTAAAAGGGTTGTCAATATTGGGGACAAAACTATCTTTTGTATGGATTATTGGTGTGGTTTTGAATGTCAATTAGAGAAGGGAGAGAGAATAAAAATTGCTTGCTTATGATAAAAATTGCTTGTTTATGGATAGAATAAATATTAATACTAATTTGAGCTCAAGGTGGAATTAGAGATAGTCAAGGCAAATTAAAAAAAGGGAGAGAGCAAAATCGATTCTCTATCTTGAAAAGGTATGTTGTTGATTTTCAGTTCAACCAAGGTTGTGACAAATGGCTTTGGAATGGAGAAGGTGATAATCATGTCTTCTCGGTGAAGGCTTTAAAAAACCTTATTGATGATCCAAGTGATGGCAACGACTATAAATTCTCTTGGGTTAATTGGATTCGGTTAAGATAAACTGCTTCGTGTGACGTATGTTGAAGAATCATATTCCTTTGTACACAAATCTCATGAAGCGTGAGATAGATGTGGATTCTACTCTATGTCCTGTCTGTCGTAGGTCTAATGAAAATCTTGATCATGTGTTTTTTTTTTCCTGTTCTACTACTTCAAAACTATAGGCGTGACTTATAAATTGGTCTTCAATCCTCAGTCATATTCCTATTTTGTGTGTTGATCTTGTCGAGATGTTGGAGTCGAAGGATAGAAGCAAAAAGATAAGAAAACTAAAGCCGAAGCTAGTGTATATGATATTGTGGATGTTCTGGATTGAAAGGAATGTGATCGTTTTTCAGAAAAGGGCGAGCAATTACACTTATTGCAGATGACATTAGTACTTTAGCTTTTAATTTTATCAAACATAGATCTAAGTTGAAAATGTTTGATTGATTTTATTGGTTGTGGCGCAGCTGTCAATATTCATCTATATCATCTTTCATCCCTCCTCACTTATCTACCCATGTTCTACCCAACATATCCGTAGATAAAAAAAATACAGTTCAGATATGAAATACAGTCTAAATCTTTCATCCAGGATGGATCTGAAGATATACAATACATATATAACTTAGATCTGAAAAAGAAAGTTCAGATATGAAAAGAAAGACATTTAGATATTTCATCCAACATAGATCTCAAAGTATAAAATACATATACAGTCTAGATCTGAAGAAAAAGTTCAGATTTGAAAAGAAAGAAGTTTAGATCTTTCATCCAACATAGATCTCAAAGTATAAAATACATATACAGTCTAGATATAAAGAAAAAGTTCATATCTGAAAAGAAAGAAGTTTAGATCTTTCATCAAACATAGATCTCAAAGTATAAAATACATATACATTCTAGATCTAAAGAAAAAGTTCAGATCTAAAAAGAAAGAGGTTTAGATCTTTCATCCAACATAGATCTCAACGCATAACATACATATACAACTTAGATCTGAAAGAAAGCAAAGTTTAAATCTTTCATCTAGTACAGATCTCAAGTAAAAGAATAATATGCACACATATCATGTAAATTATATAAAATACTTCATATCTATGTGTAAGATGAAAGTAACTATGCACTCACTTGATAAGGCGGTGATTCCAACTTGGATAATGCTTCGTTTTGACGAAACCAAGAGATTTGTTAGAAAACTGGGCTCTGTGTGGGCAGGGTTTCAAACCGAAAAACTCTTTTTCTTGGAGACTTTGGGCGTTTCAGAGCTTTCTTCAAGTGCTAGGGAAGTTTCCTAGGCTTTTGGGGGTGTTTTGGGAGGTTTAGAGAGTGAGTAGAGAGAAAAAGAAGTGGATTTTGGTATGAAAAATGAAGGAACTCTCAAGTGGTATTTATAGGCTAAAAAAGGGGTGAAATTTTTGAGTTTCTGGCCCCCAACTCGTCGAGTTGGTGCCACGTTTCGTCATCTGGTGCAGAGAAAGCAATGGCTTAGATTGCGCTATGTCATCCATTTCGCTGCAGCACCCTTCCGACTTCTAAACCCCATAACTTTCTCATACGAGCTCTGTTTTTGATGTTGTTTATATCTATGCGTATGTGGGAACATGCTATACAACTTTTGTTTAGACTCCATTGGCTAATTCTCGACCAATTTTAAATTTAACAGCATGAGAAGATTACACTGCTAAACGACTGTGTAGAATTCATAAATTCTACATAAGGACTCCGTTTTCGAATGTCTTTTTATCATTGAACTCCTATTAATGAGATATTCAATTCTCATGTAGGTTGTGTCATCTAAAAATTGCTCAATCTAAAATTCGAACTCCGAGTTGCACACTGCTATGCAAAATCTTAGAAAATTCATAACTTCCTCATACGAAGTCAGATTTGGACGTTCTTTTTATGCACGATCTTGGTTTAACGTATAATACAACTTTAGTTTAGATCTCTAAGGCTAAAAAATACTTTATCATAAACTCACTTTTTACGTCACACAACGTCGTGCCGGTTTTGTCGTGAAACTTCGACATGTCATAACTTCTTCGTTATAACTCGAATTTCGGCGTTCTTTATATGTACAGAACCCTTGATACATATACTATATATTGGTTAATATTATTTACTATAAATAGAATTCTATCAAAAGTTCATTTTTAATGCTCACTGTCTTTAAATTGACTCTCCCGAATCTACGGACGTTACAAACAAGCCTCCACCCAAATGCCAACAACATAAGTACCAGGTTCCACAACAGAAACTGTAGCGACATCAATAGCTGCCTTATGGCGACCGATACCCGTCACAATAGAGCATCTGGTTACAACCATGACTGTATCGCGTTAGATAACGATGATCCAGTAGTCACAACTATCGACTCAACAGTCGCAAACACTAGTTTCTCAGCCGCAACAGGCGGGGACGGACACTTGGTCCCCATGGAGCATACTTTCTTTTGCACAACATCCAATGTCGAGCTACCAGTTCCCTCTCATAGGGGATATATTGTAGATTCCACTTTTTGCTCAACATCCTCCAATGTTCAACCCCTACTACCCTACTTCCAACAATTGCAAGGATCCATTTCCCAAGCACCACCGTCACAAGAGTCCAACCCTCATCCGTCATCGACACAATAACTCAATACCCATTCATAACAATCACAAGGATCGAACCTGTACATGCTTCAACAGTCGGGATTGAGCTCATAACTGTAGAAAAGCATGCAGACTAGATCACAACAACAACCGTACATCTCGCAAGCAACAATGTACAATCAAGCGCACAACAACCCATATTACGCCCAAAAGTTGTCGATGTACGATGGTTTTCCATATTCTTATGTGGAAAATCCGATAAGGAGCACTAGCTATGCTTTTTTCCAGGAGCTCTTGCAGTATGAGATGCCACACTCGGCGATGATACCAAACATTCACCTGAATGTATTTCTCTGTTATGATATCAGGAAATGCAGGAAAATGGATTAAGGCGTTGCGACTTGGAAACATCTCGAGTTTCGAGAAGTTATGGTACCTCTTCTTCAACAATTTCATGCAACTAAGGAAGGGAAAGGGAGATGCTATAACACCCGTGTTCCAAGAATGTTGGACAATACTTCATGGTCTTATATCCAACTACCACGGGCTCACCGCGGGGTCTTCCATGAAATAACATACAATCACTAGCATACCACTTAGCATAAATCTAACTATCATACTACATATCTCTACAACAACTATTGTACCACATAACATAAAATGGGTTGGCCTTGGTGCCTTAGAGCCATTGGTATGGTGAGAAGACTCACCTCTGTCAGAAGAATCCGAAAGCTGCTCTCCTAACTGTCCGTAAACTCCCGTGTTGAACAAGGATAACATTACCCATGGTTAGGGCTAAACATAATCCAACTGAAAAAGCCTAAACTCCAAGTCCATTCACAATGACCCAAAAGGTCCTCCTTTGTTAATGGACCCAAATTCCATGTCCAAAAATCATTAATGGGCCTTATTGCCCAATAAAGCCCAATCATAACATCCATGGCCCAAAATAGATAAATTGGTCCACTAACCCCAAAACATAACCATGCCCAATGACTATTTGAGGCCCAACAACTCAAAGGCCCAAAACGAATCCAAGTACATCTGTTGTGTATATGCCTTGCATACCACCCTGGTACGTGCAACGTACTGAGTCCCTGGGCCGTACGCGCTGCGTACGCTAGGTTACGCCCAACGTACTAACAAATTAAGCACTTTCTCCACTAAATGCTTAATACTCAATTTTCTCACGTCTAATACTTAGATCTAAGCTTGTTAAGGCGATCTAGGGCATAAAGTTGGCAACTTTATGTCTTTGCATGTCTCATATGTTCCCAACAATCCTATTAAGACCTTTTCAAGGGTCTTAATCCATGCATGAGGTCCAAAAACCCATCAAGACTTTATTTTTATGTTATGAATGGACCAAAGGACCTCAAATCTAACATTTCCAGCTCCTAGAGTTGCCCAACTCAAAAGAAGGGATCTAAAACCAACAAAAGGGACAAAACTAGAAACCCCTAGCTAGATCTAACGAATAAGATGGAAAGATCAAAGCTTTATATCAACAGAAGCTCTTCAAGGTGAACTAGATGCAGATTGTTGAAGCCCAATGCCACTCCAAGCTTGCTTGACAACTTCTTCTTCTTGAATAGACACTAAAATGGCCACAAATGCACTCTCTAAGCTCAATAATGATCTTACAAGCTCTCTCTCTCTCTCTCTCTCTCTCTCTCTCTTTCTCTCTCTCTCTAGAGTAGAAGGACGAACTAAGGCTATTGAGGTTGTCTAGGGTTAGGTCCAAGAAGCTTAAGGACGTTTAAATAGGCCTCAAGTTCGGAAATTAGGGTTTGGACATCCGTCACGTACGACCAACATACTCCTAGTATGCCCAACGTACGTGTTGTCCCTCCGCGATCATCTTTGCAAAGTACGCTAAGCGTACTCATGAGTACGCCCAACGTACTTAAGGGACTCATTATGCTATGTTTAAAATTCTTCAAGGGTTTCAAAGCAATACCTGATTTGGAGTGTTACAAGCCCATTACTGAGTAATATGTTATAATTATATCAAATACATGCATAAAAATATTAATCATAAACATTTGTAATAGTTTTTTCTAAATATATATTCAAGTTTAAGACATTCTTAAAAAATGTTAACATCACATATAAATACATAAACTATATTATGGGAATGAAATCATTTGAACATAAATTGAAAATCCTAGTAACAAAAATGGTACTACACACTTAAATATCCAAATACGATGGTTGACATTATTATTAATGGTTGGTGTAACAGCCGTATTTTTATCAGGTATCTTGTTTATTATATTTTGTTGATTTGAGAGGGGACTCGGCGAGTTGGAGCTCAGACTCGCCGAGTAGGGACGCGGATCTGGACGCGGGATCGCGCCTGGACTCGACGAGTCCAGGATATGGACTCGGCGAGTCAGCGCTGTGTAATGAAACCCTAATTTCTCGGGTTTGAGACTTATTTAAAGGGCCTAATGGCCGTCATTTGTGCTCACCAGCCCCTTGAGTGAAACCCTAATCGAGTGTGAGCATTTGGAGCTAAGTAGGAGGCCATTATTGACCTTGGAGGTGTCATTGTTGCAAGGAAGAAGAAGAGCTAGCCAAGGGAAAGCAAGAGGAGCCACTTCTGTGGGTTTGGAGTCCCGAGCATCACGTTTGTGGTAATAAATCCGAGTTACCTTCTTGTTTGTTGTTGTTTATCTAGATTTAGGGTTTGTTGAACCCTTTTATGGCAAGATTTAGTGTCCTCTTGGTCCCTTATGAGGTTGGAACCATAGATCTGGACCCTTAGAGGTCCAGAGTGTCCCTTTACCCAAGCTTTTTGAGAATCAATAAAGGCTTTGGATTGGAATCCTCATGCCTTAGGTCAAAAACTCCATTTATGAGCTATAGGGTGTGTTATGAGCACCAAGATAGGAGCTTTATGTGATGAATCAGTCGAGGGAGGCCAGATCTATAGTTTTTGGAAGCAGATCTGACCTTAGAAGCGAGTTGGAGTGGTTGCATGGCATGGACTCGCCGAGTCTGTTCATCCGACTCGGCGAGTAGCTTGATGATTGCCTTGGGACTGCTCAGTGAGTGGTCCAATCGAGTCATGGGTAGACTCAGTGAGTCAGGGTGAGTTGGAGAGGGATGACGAGTGGACTGAGTCAAACTTGGACTCACCGAGTTGACCTTGAGACTCGGCGAGTTGAGTCGGGGTGGCCCCGCGATTCATTCAGGTGAAACTCGTCGAGTAAAGGGGGGGGGGGGGAATACTCGACGTGTAGTAAGGGGATTTCAGAGGGTTGGTGAAAACGTCTAGACTCGCCGAGTCGGGATGGTACTCGCCGAGTCCGGTCAGAGTTGACCGTTGACCGTTGAGCAGAGTTGACCTGTGATTGACTTCTTATGGATAGTCAACCTTAGAGATATAAAGTGTTAATTAGAAACATATAATGTTATAGGAGGATTAGAGCTCGGAGGATCGAGTACAAGGGATTTCCAGGATTCGTGAGATACCGAGATACGCGAGGTGAGTCTACTCACTATACTATATTACCTTGAGTAGGTAACCAGAGTTATGTGATAGAGTATTTGTATGCTATGTATGTTATGTGTTGTATTGCATTATTTCTATGTGATTTATGTAGTGCATGTTTATCAGAGCTAGAACCTGCGGGTTCACAGAGTTGGGTGCACGGACCCACAGAGTTATAGCCTCGAGTGGCTAATATGTGTTATATGTGGTATTTTGGGGAACTCACTAAGCCTTGTGCTTACAGTGTTTGATGTTATTGTTTCAGGTACTAGTGACGACCGCGGGAAGGCGCCGGCTTGATCCGTACACACACTCGGAGTTTTTACATTGTGATCTTGGGATTTTGTATTAACCGTTAGTGGATAATTAATATGGATGTTTGATGAATATTAATCGAATCATGTTTTATAAGAAAATTGAAAAAATTTGTTTTGAAATTTACTGTGTTACAGTTGGAATGTGGTGAATGAGCAAAAATGAGAAAACTGTGTAGTTTTTGTAGAAAAAGAAAATTGAATTGTTGTCCTACTACCTCATTTTATGTATACATGGTGTTTAGTTCAATACATGATGTACATCGTATATCGCGGTTATTGATTCTTATGTATAATCATAATAATTACCAAAATAAAATTTAGGATTTCATTTTAATTTAAAAAAGCTTGAAGGTGTATTGTACTCAATTGGTTATTGAATTTATGATCTTAAAATTAAATAAAATCTCTTTTGTGCTCTTAGGAAATTTGACTTATCATGTCTATGTATTCAACTCCTGGCTTTTGGTAATTGTTTTATGTAACTGAAATCGAAAAACTAATTAAACCAATAATATATAAAAAACGGTTTTAGAGCTAGAAACTATAAATTTTTCCAAATGTAGATAAAACATTTTGTTATTATTTATATTACACTCGTGAAAAAAAATTATACTATATAATTTCATTGTATGTGTAATGGTTTATAAAAAAACGTTTCATGCATAAATCAATACTAAGCGAAATGATGCAAAAGTTAAATCGTTGTTTATTATTTAAACTAAAAGAATATAAATATGTCTTTTATGCATTGATGAAATCAAGCGATATGAACTTGTGTAATGAAGAAATAGCTTTTATAACTACTTTTTTTTTTATTTATAAATATATGTGGACAAAGAATTGTTCAATCATAAATAAATGTAGGCATAATAATTGCACTGTTTAAATCGATGTCTATGTTTAAACTAAAATGATATAATCATGTTTTTTATTTTAGTCTTGAAATAGAAAACATTTTAGGTTTAAACTGGAAAAAAATACAAAATATAGGATCTTTTATGAAATAAAAATAATTAATTTTCCTTTTGGTAACCTGTTAAGATCTAAAATAACAAGTAACAGGTAAAAAATTAGATCTTATTCGAAGAAAAAAAAGTTTTAGGTCTAAAAAGAAAAAAAGTCAAAATATAGGGGTCTTTTATGGAAATAACCCTTTTATTTTCACTTTTGCATCAATTTCAAATTGGTCTCTAAGAGTTTCATGCCTACCACCGT